ATATAATATAAAATTAAATTAAAAAGAAAATAAAAAAATCAGATCAGATGCTGCACCTCGCTAATTAGTGCTCATGTTTCATTATTTCAGTGAGGATGGARAAACACTGCTGGCGTCAAATTTAACACGAACAAATCTAATTTTACTATGATCTCTGAGAGGAAGTTTGTTTTTTCCACTTCAGAGTTGCCCATGATGAAAACGACTTGGCGCATCGACAGTCGCCTTCATCACCTGACAYATTTCACACATCGGTTGAGGGGCTTTGTTTACAAAACAGATGTCCACATGGTTTTTAAATTGTTTTAATTTCCTTACTTTTTAAGACACAATAAGTTGATTTCATGCTGCAGTTTGCCTTGTAATGTTATTTTATACATTTTCTGCTAATTTTGCATTGTCTATTATTAAGTTTTATTAGTCTTTACCAAACAAGATGCTTCCTACAAAAACCAGAATGTGAATCTTTTCCTAAACTTTCATGGCGACATCTTGAACACTGAGGAAGTTATGAGCAAAAATAGAAAAGGTGAAATGGTCACAAAGGTCACATCGGTTCTGCTGTGAACTGCAGCAAGAACACATGAGCTGATTTCACCCAAACAAACATCAATAACTTCCCTCATACTTCAGATAATCACATGATTCTGGTRTTATTTTGTGTGGTCTGAAATGTTCTTTTGGAATCCGCTGTCAGATTTAATATTGGTGTAGGATTAAAAAAAAGTATCCAGATCCCTCAACAAAGGAGGTTTGTGCAACAAGAATATCTAATACCCCCACAAAGAAATGGCCTTTGTGACAAAAATAGCAAAAATAAATAAATAAATAATTAGGGCTGCAACGATTAATCGATTAATCGACGACTAATTGATTATTAAAATAATCTATGACTAATTTAATAATCGATTAATCGTTTTCTTTTTTGTTCTTTACTTTGTTTTTCTCTCCAAACTGCTTTGACACCTTCCACTGCCACATCTGCCTTTTTTAAATCGGTGATTAATCAATTATAAAAATAATCGTTTGTGGCAGCCCTAAACTGAAATCTATCAGTTAAATAAGATTCAAACCATTTTAGAGCTGTTCCTGTAATCCCAATATCAAGTTCAAGTC